ACGCACGCACACGTGGGTGAGGTGGTAATACAAATAATTACTTCTTTAATTCTTTCTTTCGTGCAGAAATTTTGCCAACTTCATGTTCAAGATGGCAGCATGGCTGTATACGGGTTCCCACTGTATGTTTTCCGAGATGATTCACTCAATGGCCGACACTATCAACCAGGTATTCACCTCGTCACCATCGCTTCTCTGAAGTCTATTTCTGATGTTATTTTTCTGCTATTCCTTATGCAGTTAGAGTAAGCTTGGCAGGCACTGTTGTAAACTTGTTTGTTGTGCTACTAGCGTACGTACATATTTGTTGTTGGCAGCTGATCCTGGCTTGGGGAGTCCATCAGTCAATCAAGCGACCAGATCCAAACCACCCGTAAGTTTGGAGGCTAAGCTGTCAATGTATATATGATAAGGCTTTCACAGAGCAGACTGATGTGCATATTATTATTATTATTATTATTTTATTTATTTATATTGCACCTTTTTACATAAAATGATCAAACGTGTGGCACATCCATATCGCAAACGACTGAACAATAAAATGAAATTATAATGAAATGTACATGTGAGATATATCGCTACAACTGCGAGATACAGCATACTGCTACAGCATATCTGCTGCGCTGCTGACGACACTGAATGCGTGGTTTTCCCTGTCTGCTTCAGTTACGGCTAGTGATTTCCTGATGATCGATACTAATCGAAAAATCAGTCGTTTGCAGCAACCAACTAAGCGCTCGATAGCTCGTTATACTGAAAAATACTTTAGATATATGATATATGATATACTTAAATATCTGGTAGCCGCGATCAATAACAATCAACCGTTTATCATCGATCATCGTTCGGTTGAAGTGCAACCGATGATCGATGATGAAATTCCAACCGATTCCCATCACCAGGTATGGCTACTCGAACATGAGGTACGTGTCGTCGCTCATCAGCGGCGTCGGCATCTTCTGCTTCGGCACTGGTCTGTCCGTCTACCACGGCATCAAGGGCCTCGTGCACCCGCAGGAGATCGAATCACTCTACTGGGCCTTCTTCGTGCTTGGCGGCTCCCTGCTCTCAGAGGGATGTAAGTATATAGCCGTGTA